CCTCTGGGGAGGCCTCTTGGAGGCCTCTTGGAGCGTCTTCGGGGCCTCTTTGGCCGTCTTGGGTTTATCTTGGGGGTCTCCTGGGGCCTCTTGGCGCCCCTTTGGGGCCTCTCGGGGCCCTGTGGAGGCGGGAACTTCGAATTTCCGGTTCGCGGTTCCCCTCTTGGGGCCGTCTTGGGCCTCTCTTCGCCCGTCTTGGGCGCGTCTTGGGCCGTCTTGGGGCACTCCAGAGCCCTCTTGAGCCCCTCTTGGAGGCATCTTGGGCTGTCTTGGGGCGTCCGCGGGGGGCCTTTGAGCCGTCGTGGAGCGTCGGAAAGCTGAAAAGGCGGGAAAGGTAAACTGTGTCCAAAACCTTCGTAAAATTAGCGATGTTGGACTCTTGGGGCCCTTTGGGGGGGCCTCTTGGAGGCCTCTTGGAGCGTCTTGGGGGCCTCTTGGGGCCGTCTTGGGCTTATCTTGGGCATCTTGGAGCCCTCTTGGCGCCCTCTTGGCCCTCTTGGGGCCTGCTGGGCCTGCCGTGGAGCGCTCTTGGGGCACTCTTGGGCCGCCTGGGCTGCTCCAGGGAGGCTCCAGGCCCCCCCGTCCCGCCATGGGGGGTCGAGGCACCTGTCCTGGGGCCCCCGGCCTCGCCCCCAGGGATACACACACACACACACACACACATATATATATATATATATACATATACATATATGTATATATATATATATATATATGTTTGTATATGTATATATATATATATATAGATACAAGACTGCAGTGGCGCTTCGCGCCATAAACCTTGGTCCTTGAAGTTTGGTATGCAGGCGGAATGGCAAGAAGGTCAAGCCGACAATTTAGCGATAACTTCTGGTTGCCTTATTCGTTATCCTTACTCCATGCATATGTTTCATTTGTTTCGCCATACACTGCGCATTCTCCCCATCCTCAGCTCTTTTTTGCGGAGGCTCCTCCTTGGAGAGCCTCTAGGGGGCTCACAAAAGTTGTTTCGGGTTTTCTTAAGGCCTTCTGGAGGCCTCCTGGGCGCATTCTGGGGGCCTCCGGGGGCTTCCTCGGGCCACCCTGCCTCCAACCGCCGTCTCCCTGAACGACCGGATCTCGATTTGGAATTCTTCGGAGGGTGTCTTTGGGACATCTTCTGTTTTTTTCTCCTGCCCGGGGCGAACTGGCATAATGTGACAACGTCGATTACGACTAAGATTGACATTGCTGCGAGGCGCTCCATGCCCCCTGGAGACCGATACAGAGGGTGACACGCGCAAGGATGACATGCAGGAGCCGACCAAGGAAAAACAGTCCAATTGAAAAAGCTCCGCGAACACCCCCCCGTTACAGCACAGACAATCCAGGCTGCTGAATGATGCTTCCTCCTACACTTGCCTGCTTCAGGCGACTCGTCTGGACATGCGTCCTGGATGGGCTGACGGGAATGCGCAAAGCATAAAAACATTGAGATTCAGCGATGGACTATGCCACGGCATCAGGTTTACTAGGGCAAGTAAACATGTTGTTGTCAAGAGACGAGACGTACCAATGACAGCTACTTCTTCCAATGTGAACCAGCGGAGATGCTGTATCTACTCCAACGAAAAGCCGATCCTTGTGCTGCACACCTTTTGGACTCACCAGACTTGGTTCATAGACGCCCACTGCGCGGAGAACTTCTGGGAAACTGATTTGATCACGATCTCCACAGCATTCGATTTCGCCGAGCCAGGTACACGTAATCTTGGTATTAAAATCGCGGCACCGCTCGCTACTCATATCCCACGCAATAACTGCGCTGTCAATCATGCCGCTGTCCAAAGAAATACGGTCGTTGTCTGTACCGAGTCGTCGATAATGACTGCATTGTTTCCGAACCTCGTCGTGGTCGGCTGTGTTAGTAAACTCTGGAGCCGAGACTGTTGCGCAATGGTTCTTGTACCAACGCTGTTCGTCACACAAGGACCTGAAAAAGACACAGGCGCCAGTGTTGTGCACATTCTCCAAGAACATTTTGTAATAGTTCATCACACCAGCGAAATTATGGTTAGATGCGAAATCCCACATTTTCGCATCCTGCCAGTAAAGACGCTCTGCAAATGCGAAGACCCCAAAACCTCAATGCATCTTGAATAACTTTGTATTCCTCCGCATGTTCTGATATGGCAAAACGCTCTTCGGCACAGGGATCAAAATATTGAGGCCATTCTTGGAAGTGCGATTTAAAGAAATATCTGAATACGCTGCGCCCTCGACGAAGTCAGCAGCAGAAGTAACAAAATAAAAGAAACACCGCTGGTGAACCTGGAGAAGCCGATGAGCAATCGCATCGCCGGTTGTATCTAACATCGCTTCATACTTAGAACCAAATGCCACTCCGTATATCACCCCTTGAAAACACTCCTCTTGTTTCAATTCCTTGAACTTCTTGGCAAGATCCCCAAGAAAGTTCGCGAACTTGTTTTGCCTGCAGAATCCACAAGTTATTGAACTGTCAATGGCGCTGTAGCTGGTAAGCTGTGCTTCAGATGCCAAACAATCACCCGTCCCGTAAGGCCAAGGAACTTCAGACTCCTTTGTTGCACAACTGCGGCTGTGATTAGACGCTGGGAGAAGGCTTGCTGATATGGGTACCCCTACTCCTGGCAATGTACTATCCGCGCAAATGCCCGAAAAAGTGTGCTCCAACGGCGTAATGATCTTGACGTCGATAAGGTGGCCAGCGGAATCAGGCCATTGATAGACCTCTAGCTCAACCGATTGTGGTAGCCTCACGTGCACCACATTCAACTCGGCGTCCTTGCGATCGGGCAGGACAACATCCCCCGAGTTATCCCTTTTTGCCTCGACGAGTTCGTTCGAAAACTCGGTGTCCAGGTCACTGAGGATGGACTCCTCCGATCCGTCAGCATTACGCCATGTAACGCCTCTCGCGGAGATGTGGAGGACGTTCCCCGTCAAGGCAGAGCCACCGATGGCAATCTCTTTGAGGACGTTAGTGTACTCCGTCTGCCCGTCGCTCAGCCTGCCAGTCTGGGCCTGAATCTTGACGTCGTCCATCTGGACCAGCCACAGATTCCCCTCGAAGACGAACGTGACGTCACTGCTGTTGTCCCACGTCGAGAAGGACGCGTTCGCAGCCCCGTGCCTCACCGCCAGGCCCCCGAAGAGGACGCACGCGCTCCGGCTGTCGGAGGCCTTGACGATGGCCTCGGGCCAGGCGGCGGCCACGGCTCCTGCAGGAGCTCCCCCGCGCCCTGCCACCGCCAGGAGCACCAGCGCCACCGCGGCCGCGGTCAGCGCTGCGACGGCGGCCCGCGGCCGGGCCGCGCAGGCGGTGCTGCACGTGGCGAGCTCTGCCAGCTCGGCGTCGCTCTCCGAAGCGAGCATGCGCGGCAAGTGCGGTCCCCTGCGGGCAAGCATGGCGCGGCCAGGCGGGAGAGGGGAGGACTGAGGAGGGTGACGGGAACGAGCCGGCTTTGAGCGCTGGCCCGACTCCGCGCCGTGAGCCAACGCGGCTTGAGCCAAAATGGCGCTGGAGGAGGGTGTCTTTGGGACATCTTTGGCCGCCATGGGGCTCTCTGAGGGCCATCTTGGACCCGTGTTTGGCCGTTTTGGGGCTCTCTTGGGCTGCCTGGAAGCCCTTTCGGATGGTTGTGAGGCGATTTGGGAGCCTCCCAGGCGGCTTCGGACGCCCAGAAGACCGCCGTCTTGGAGCGTCGGGAAGCCGAAAAGAGGAGAGCCCCAAAATTCACCAAAACGCACAGAAAATCAATGATTTTTGCCTCGGGGGGCCTTCTTGGGAGTGCTCTTGGAGGCCTCTTTGGGGCCGTCCTGGAGGCCTCTTGGGCCATCTTGAGGTCACGTCGGTCACTCTTGGAGCGCTCTTGTGCTGTCTTGGGGATCCTTGACGTCTCCGATGACCCCCTGATCGCCCTAAGTGTGCTGGGAAGGCTTGGCAAAACACCTTGCGAGGCCCGGTGGCCACTTCGAGGCCCGTCCGGAGGGCCCCAAAGCCCCAGGTCCCGGGAGTCCGGTTTTGGAGGGGGGGGTGATGGGTTTTCCCCCCACCCGGGCTTATACAAAAGATAGGAAGAGGAGAATCTATATATATATATATACACACACATGAAGAATCAATGAGTCTTTTTGCGCGGGGGTATGGAACAAATAAGACCGACAATAATACAGGGAAAATAAGCATCCCCCCGCGGCGGCCACTGCTGAGGCCTCCGACGTCTTCATTGTCCAGTGCGCTGTCGTCGTCATCGTACTCGCACGCTGACTTTTTCCCAACCATCCTGCGGTTTGGGGTCCTCGTTTTGAAGAAACAGCGCCCCGCGTCCTCCTCCTCCTCTCCTCCTCCCACTCCTCCCTCCCCCTTCCCATCATTATCATTGTCATCATCGTCATCGTGCACGTGATCGTCGTCGTCATCATCATCATCATCATCATCATCATCATCAACATCATGGCCGTCGTCGTCATCATCGTCATCATCATCATGTCCGTCATCATCACCATCATCACCATCGTCGTCATCATCACCATAATCGTCCTCGTCACACCCCTCACACGTTTCGTGGCACCATAGCGAACTCCACCCAAGACCCCAGTGGCGCAGTTCGCATGGCGGCGCCGCCGCATTTTCGCACACCCCTCACACGTTTCTTGGCGACATCTGGGGCTCCACCTAGGGTCCCAGTGGCGCAGTCCGCATGGCTGCGCCGCCCCATTTTGGCACACCCCTCTCACGTTTCATGGCATCATGGGGAGCTCCACCCATGGTCCCAGTGGCGCAGTCTTCTGCACGACTGCGCCGCCCGATTTTGGAACACTCCTTCACACGTTTCATATGGCATCACAAGAGTTGTTTCGGGTTTTCTTAAGGCCTTCTGGAGGCCTCCTGGGCGCATTCTGGGGGCCTCCGGGGGCTTCCTCGGGCCACCCTGCCTCCAACCGCCGTCTCCCTGAACGACCGGATCACGATTTGGAATTCTTCGGAGGGTGTCTTTGGGACATCTTCTTTTTTTTCTCCTGCCCGGGGCGAACTGGCATGATGTGACAACGTCGATTACGACTAAGATTGACATTGCTGCGAGGCGATCCATGCCCCCTGGGGGCCGATACAGAGGGTGACACGCGCAAGGATGACACGCAGGAGCCGACCAAGGAAAAACAGTCCAATTGAAAAAGCTCCGCGAACACCCCCCCGTTACAGCATAGACAACCCAGGCTGCTGAATGATGCTTCCTCCTACACTTGCCTGCTTCAGGCGACTCGTCTGGACATGCGTCCTGGATGGGCTGACGGGAATGCGCAAAGCATAAAAACATTGAGATTCAGCGATGGCCTATGCCACGGCATCAGGATTACTAGGGCAAGTAAACATGTTGTTGTCAAGAGACGAGACGTACCAATGACAGCTACTTCTTCCAATGTGAACCAGCGGAGATGCTGTATCTACTCCAACGAAAAGCCGATCCTTGTGCTGCACACCTTTTGGACTCACCGGACTTGGTTCATAGACGCCCACTGCGCGGAGAACTTCTGGGAAACTGATTTGATCACGATCTCCAAAGCATTCGATTTCGCCGAGCCAGGTACACGTAATCTTGGTATTAAAATCGCGGCACCGCTCGCTACTCATATCCCACGCAATAACTGCGCTGTCAATCATGCCGCTGTCCAAAGAAATACGGTCGTTGTCTGTACCGAGTCGTCGATAATGACTGCATTGTTTCCTAACCTCGTCGTGATCGGCTGTGTTAGTAAACTCTGGAGCCGAGACTGTTGCGCAATGGTTCTTGTACCAACGCTGTTCGTCACACAAGGACCTGAAAAAGACACAGGCGCCAGTGTTGTGCACATTCTCCAAGAACATTTTGTAATAGTTCATCACACCATCGAAATGATGGTTAAATGCGAAATCCCACATTTTCGCATCCTGCCAGTAAAGACGCTCTGCAAATGCGAAGACCCCAAAACCTCCATGCATCTTGAATAACTTTGTATTCCTCCGCATGTTTTGATATGGCAAAACGCTCGTCGGCACAGGGATCAAAATATTGAGGCCATTCTTGGAAGTGCGATTTAAAGAAATATCTGAATACGCTGCGCCCTCGACGAAGTCAGCAGCAGAATTAACAAAATAAAAGAAACACCGCTGGTGAACCTGGAGAAGCCGATGAGCAATCGCATCGTCGGTTGTATCTAACATCGCTTCATACTTGGAACCAAATGCCACTCCGTATATCACCCCTTGAAAACACTCCTCTTGTTTCAATTCCTTCAACTTCTTGGCAAGATCCCCAAGAAAGTTCGCGAACTTGTTTTGCCTGCAGAATCCACAAGTTATTGAATTGTCAATGGCGCTGTAGCTGGTAAGCTGTGCTTCAGATGCCAAACAATCACCCGTCCCGTAAGGCCAAGGAACTTCAGACTCCTTTGTTGCACAACTGCGGCTGTGATTAGACGCTGGGAGAAGGCTTGCTGATATGGGTACCCCTACTCCTGGCAATGTACTATCCGCGCAAATGCCCGAAAAAGTGTGCTCCAACGGCGTAATGATCTTGACGTCGATAAGGTGGCCAGCGGAATCAGGCCATTGATAGACCTCTAGCTCAACCGATTGTGGTAGCCTCACGTGCACCACATTCAACTCTGCGTCCTTGCGATCGGGCAGGACAACATCCCCCGAGTTATCCCTTTTTACCTCGACGAGTTCGTTCGAAAACTCGGTGTCCAGGTCACTGAGGATGGACTCCTCCGATCCGTCAGCATTACGCCATGTAACGCCTCTCGCGGAGATGTGGAGGACGTTCCCCGTCAAGGCAGAGCCACCGATGGCAATCTCTTTGAGGACGTTAGTGTACTCCGTCTGCCCGTCGCTCAGCCTGCCAGTCTGGGCCTGAATCTTGACGTCGTCCATCTGGACCAGCCACAGATTCCCCTCGAAGACGAACGTGACGTCACTGCTGTTGTCCCACGTCGAGAAGGACGCGTTCGCAGCCCCGTGCCTCACCGCCAGGCCCCCGAAGAGGACGCACGCGCTCCGGCTGTCGGAGGCCTTGACGATGGCCTCGGGCCAGGCGGCGGCCACGGCTCCTGCAGGAGCTCCCCCGCGCCCTGCCACCGCCAGGAGCACCAGCGCCACCGCGGCCGCGGTCAGCGCTGCGACGGCGGCCCGCGGCCGGGCCGCGCAGGCGGTGCTGCACGTGGCGAGCTCTGCCAGCTCGGCGTCGCTCTCCGAAGCGAGCATGCGCGGCAGGTGCGGTCCCCTGCGGGCAAGCATGGCGCGGCCAGGCGGGAGAGGGGAGGACTGAGGAGGGTGACGGGAACGAGCAGGCTTTGAGCGCTGGCCCGACTCCGCGCCGTGAGCCAACGCGGCTTGAGCCAAAATGGCGCTGGAGGAGGGTGTCTTTGGGACATCTTTGGCCGCCATGGGGCTCTCTGAGGGCCTTCTTGGACCCGTGTTTGGCCGTTTTGGGGCTCTCTTGGGCTGCCTGGAAGCCCTTTCTTGGAGCGTCGGGAAGCCGAAAAGAGGAGAGCCCCAAAATTCACCAAAACGCACAGAAAATCAATGATTTTTGCCTCGGGGGGCCTTCTTGGGAGTGCTCTTGGAGGCCTCTTTGGGGCCGTCCTGGAGGCCTCTTGGGCCATCTTGAGGTCACGTCGGTCACTCTTGGAGCGCTCTTGTGCTGTCTTGGGGATCCTTGACGTCTCCGATGACCCCCTGATCGCCCTAAGTGTGCTGGGAAGGCTTGGCAAAACGCCTTGCGAGGCCCGGTGGCCACTTCGAGGCCCGTCCGGAGGGCCCCAAAGCCCCAGGTCCCGGGAGTCCGGTTTTGGAGGGGGGGGTGATGGGTTTTCCCCCCACCCGGGCTTATACAAAAGATAGGAAGAGGAGAATATATATATATATATATATATACACATGAAGAATCAATGAGTCTTTTTGCGCGGGGGTATGGAACAAATAAGACCGATAATAATACAGTGAAAATAAGCATCCCCCCGCGGCGGCCACTGCTGAGGCCTCCGACGTCTTCATTGTCCAGTGCGCTGTCGTCGTCATCGTACTCGCACGCTGACTTTTTCCCAACCATCCTGCGGTTTGGAGTCCTCGTTTTGAAGAAACAGCGCCCCGCGTCCTCCTCCTCCTCTCCTCCTCCCACTCCTCCCTCCCCCTTCCCATCATTATCATTGTCATCATCGTCATCGTGCACGTGATCGTCGTCGTCGTCGTCGTCGTCGTCATCATCATCATCATCATCATCATCATCAACATCATGGCCGTCGTCGTCATCATCGTCATCATCATCATGTCCGTCATCATCACCATCATCACCATCGTCGTCATCATCACCATAATCGTCCTCGTCACACCCCTCACACGTTTCGTGGCACCACAGCGAACTCCACCCAAGACCCCAGTGGCGCAGTTCGCATGGCGGCGCCGCCGCATTTTCGCACACCCCTCACACGTTTCTTGGCGACATCTGGGGCTCCACCTAGGGTCCCAGTGGCGCAGTCCGCATGGCTGCGCCGCCCCATTTTGGCACACCCCTCTCACGTTTCATGGCATCATGGGGAGCTCCACCCATGGTCCCAGTGGCGCAGTCTGCACGACTGCGCCGCCCGATTTTGAAACACTCCTTCACACGTTTCATATGGCATCACAAGAGTTGTTTCGGGTTTTCTTAAGGCCTTCTGGAGGCCTCCTGGGCGCATTCTGGGGGCCTCCGGGGGCTTCCTCGGGCCACCCTGCCTCCAACCGCCGTCTCCCTGAACGACCGGATCACGATTTGGAATTCTTCGGAGGGTGTCTTTGGGACATCTTCTTTTTTTTCTCCTGCCCGGGGCGAACTGGCATGATGTGACAACGTCGATTACGACTAAGATTGACATTGCTGCGAGGCGATCCATGCCCCCTGGGGGCCGATACAGAGGGTGACACGCGCAAGGATGACACGCAGGAGCCGACCAAGGAAAAACAGTCCAATTGAAAAAGCTCCGCGAACACCCCCCCGTTACAGCATAGACAACCCAGGCTGCTGAATGATGCTTCCTCCTACACTTGCCTGCTTCAGGCGACTCGTCTGGACATGCGTCCTGGATGGGCTGACGGGAATGCGCAAAGCATAAAAACATTGAGATTCAGCGATGGCCTATGCCACGGCATCTGGATTACTAGGGCAAGTAAACATGTTGTTGTCAAGAGACGAGACGTACCAATGACAGCTACTTCTTCCAATGTGAACCAGCGGAGATGCTGTATCTACTCCAACGAAAAGCCGATCCTTGTGCTGCACACCTTTTGGACTCACCGGACTTGGTTCATAGACGCCCACTGCGCGGAGAACTTCTGGGAAACTGATTTGATCACGATCTCCAAAGCATTCGATTTCGCCGAGCCAGGTACACGTAATCTTGGTATTAAAATCGCGGCACCGCTCGCTACTCATATCCCACACAATAACTGCGCTGTCAATCATGCCGCTGTCCAAAGAAATACGGTCGTTGTCTGTACCGAGTCGTCGATAATGACTGCATTGTTTCCTAACCTCGTCGTGATCGGCTGTGTTAGTAAACTCTGGAGCCGAGACTGTTGCGCAATGGTTCTTGTACCAACGCTGTTCGTCACACAAGGACCTGAAAAAGACACAGGCGCCAGTGTTTTGCACATTCTCCAAGAACATTTTGTAATAGTTCATCACACCATCGAAATGATGGTTAAATGCGAAATCCCACATTTTCGCATCCTGCCAGTAAAGACGCTCTGCAAATGCGAAGACCCCAAAACCTCCATGCATCTTGAATAACTTTGTATTCCTCCGCATGTTCTGATATGGCAAAACGCTCGTCGGCACAGGGATCAAAATATTGAGGCCATTCTTGGAAGTGCGATTTAAAGAAATATCTGAATACGCTGCGCCCTCGACGAAGTCAGCAGCAGAATTAACAAAATAAAAGAAACACCGCTGGTGAACCTGGAGAAGCCGATGAGCAATCGCATCGTCGGTTGTATCTAACATCGCTTCATACTTGGAACCAAATGCCACTCCGTATATCACCCCTTGAAAACACTCCTCTTGTTTCAATTCCTTCAACTTCTTGGCAAGATCCCCAAGAAAGTTCGCGAACTTGTTTTGCCTGCAGAATCCACAAGTTATTGAATTGTCAATGGCGCTGTAGCTGGTAAGCTGTGCTTCAGATGCCAAACAATCACCCGTCCCGTAAGGCCAAGGAACTTCAGACTCCTTTGTTGCACAACTGCGGCTGTGATTAGACGCTGGGAGAAGGCTTGCTGATATGGGTACCCCTACTCCTGGCAATGTACTATCCGCGCAAATGCCCGAAAAAGTGTTGGCCAGCGGAATCAGGCCATTGATAGACCTCTAGCTCAACCGATTGTGGTAGCCTCACGTGCACCACATTCAACTCGGCGTCCTTGCGATCGGGCAGGACAACATCCCCCGAGTTATCCCTTTTTGCCTCGACGAGTTCGTTCGAAAACTCGGTGTCCAGGTCACTGAGGATGGACTCCTCCGATCCGTCAGCATTACGCCATGTAACGCCTCTCGCGGAGATGTGGAGGACGTTCCCCGTCAAGGCAGAGCCACCGATGGCAATCTCTTTGAGGACGTTAGTGTACTCCGTCTGCCCGTCGCTCAGCCTGCCAGTCTGGGCCTGAATCTTGACGTCGTCCATCTGGACCAGCCACAGATTCCCCTCGAAGACGAACGTGACGTCACTGCTGTTGTCCCACGTCGAGAAGGACGCGTTCGCAGCCCCGTGCCTCACCGCCAGGCCCCCGAAGAGGACGCACGCGCTCCGGCTGTCGGAGGCCTTGACGATGGCCTCGGGCCAGGCGGCGGCCACGGCTCCTGCAGGAGCTCCCCCGCGCCCTGCCACCGCCAGGAGCACCAGCGCCACCGCGGCCGCGGTCAGCGCTGCGACGGCGGCCCGCGGCCGGGCCGCGCAGGCGGTGCTGCACGTGGCGAGCTCTGCCAGCTCGGCGTCGCTCTCCGAAGCGAGCATGCGCGGCAAGTGCGGTCCCCTGCGGGCAAGCATGGCGCGGCCAGGCGGGAGAGGGGAGGACTGAGGAGGGTGACGGGAACGAGCCGGCTTTGAGCGCTGGCCCGACTCCGCGCCGTGAGCCAACGCGGCTTGAGCCAAAATGGCGCTGGAG